TCAAATTCATGACCATGCATGGGAAAAATAACAGATCACGCTAGAGTTAGAAAAATGTTATTAATATACAAAGAAATATACAACACTCTGTTCACAGGCATCTCTCTGCCCTCAATGGTGGCAATAGAAATATTAGACACTGACAAGGTGACTTTGGATTTTAGAGTATTAGGTGATAAAAGAGAAATTTCCAAACCTGAATCTAGAAGAAATTTTGTAGGAAATCTTCTGGCATAGGTGTTGAGGAGAACAACCGGGAGCTTTGTGGCAACTGCAGTGGAAGTATTGGTCAGTACTTGTTTCCCAAGTACTGGGTAGGCTTGTCAATGTAACCCTCTGGCAGTAGTTCTTCCTCTTCACATACTTCCACATTTTTGCCATAATCTTCACTTTACTCCACAAAATTCACTGAACAATGCCCGTTTCTGCACCTGTGACCTTGTCTGCATGCATTTGCATGATAAGAGGAGCATCCTCTCTGGGTACTCACAAATCTTGGCACACTGCCTTCCGTTGCAGGGGCCAGGTACACCAATTTTTGCATAGGCTTAGCCTTGTTTGGCACGTGACATTCACTCCTGAAAAGGCCTTATTGGCCACAATTGTAGCAAATAGTCACGGCCCTAATATCCAGCACTCCAGATCCACCATACATGGCAGGAGGGGTTCTAGGATGCAAATGGGAGATTTGATGCAGAGAAGAGGATTGAGAGGAATCTAAATCTCTCTCTCAATCCTCCACTGAGATTGCAAATCTAAGGGTGGTCTCAAAAAATGTCAAAAGTGATTTGTATTGCACTGGCAACCTTGGACACAATTCTGTCCATCAATGTCAATAAAAGAAATCTGTCAAGGAAGTCCTGCTTACCTGTATACTCCCAACATTCCTTCACATAGAAAGGATTTGTTAAGAGGGCAGCAGGTTGATTTTCTCAACAAATAAACTTTAATTTTCTGGGGGTGTCACCCAGCAGACGGAAATTGCCTGCCCTCCTCACTCTAGCTCCAAGGGTTTGCACCTGCTCTCCAGGAGCTTGGCGCCTCCTCTTCAGGTCTTTCATGAGGTACCTCGACCCCAGAAGAAGGATTCAAGAATTAAGCAACTCCCATAGATTCACCTACCAAGGGGTTGACCTTGCATTGTGGATCCCGGTCAACATTTATATACAAAACCACTGTGGAGGCGACCCTACAACGGAGGAAAGAGCAGCAACACTTTTTTTGGGAAATCCGCAAAAAGAGTCCGTCAAGAAGTTTTCAAAGGGGGGGGGGAGAGTTAGGGCTCCCCCTTACAGCAAAGGGCGACATCTAGATGAAGGCAGCTGAGACTGCCGAGGCGCTAAAATACCAGACACGCGGAAGCGCAAGAGACATGGAGGCCGGAAACACATATGGAACCTGGGATCACTGATGAAGATTGGACAAAGGATTGGAAGGGGGACTGGCAAGATGAGGGCATTCTCCATGAGCTTCTGACGAATAGGAATTCATCAACTGTGACTGATTGTGCGACTGAGTGAAATAGAGCAGTTGTGAAGAACCTACCATTTCCGTTTTGTACTCGAAATAGTGGGACATTTTAATCACCTGAAAATTAATTCCGCAGTTTCCCACACTGCTGGTCAGGTACTGTTGAAACTTTTCAAAGCTAAGGAGTAAGCACCTCTCACATGTTACTCCACCTGCCTTCATTTTCTGGAGAATTGAAACGTTCTCCGAGCACATAGGATTCTGAAAACTACGCACCTTCCCCCAGCAGCAATGCTTGACAGGTGCGGCTATCAGTATCATCAGGGCGTGGAATCTGCATTGGGTCGAACATAGGGTTCATAAATTGCTGCAAAGAGGTGATAAAGTTTGAAATGAATTGAGGCATTCATCACTCCTATAAATGGCATACGTACAGGAAAACGAATGGACCGCTTCCAAGGGTGAATTAATCAACGTAATAAGGTACATCTTCCGAATAGGCTTACACGATACGCGGTGCCCATCGTAACTGGTGAACGTGTGTCAAAGATTTACGATCCACTTTTGCGAAAAATCAGAGAACAATCCTTAACTATAGTAGTAAATGTGTTGGTAATCTCACTTGATAATCTGAATAACCCGTCACATGGTGCCATTTCCAAAAATGCTTAGCTCGAACTCACCCTCAGTCTCTGTCATTGTTCACATCTTCCAACGAATACTCCAGTCTCGAACAGCGAAGAGGAATGCCTTTCCGAGTTCCCGAGCTGCTCTTATTTCAAGTTATTCGAAGTACCGCGTTTCACTGTTCTTTGCACAACAAACGCTTATACATTGCATGAAGAACCCGCGGTGAAGTGCACTTAATCTCTACACACGGACGCCGGCGCAATTACATCGTGCCTCACGCATTCTTAAGATAGGATTATAGTAATTCAGCATTACATACAGTACTATACTTCGCAGGGTGCACTCACTGAGGTTCACACAACAAAGATGAATCCCGAGTAATTGTGGAGATTGTCAACTTGAAAGGTTTCCATTCAGCAGGGCAGTCACAAAATAATGCGTACTACAGCGATCGAATTCGCGCATGCATCATAGGGACACTCATAAAGTCTAAATCGACAAAAATCACTGATGAACCGTGATGCGTTGCTCCGGTGAGGAAGAATAAGATGGAAGAGTTCGGTCTCACAGCAGATACGGTAATCAGAAACCGCCATACCCCCACAGCAGTCCTCTGAATAGCATACGAAAGATCTACGAACACTTTTTTTAACTGACACTCCCGCGTACTTTCATTCCAATACGCATAATTTCAAATTCTGAACATGGTAGCAATGTTGATTCTAAAACAAATTAGACTCAGCAATGCTTGGACTTCGTGCACCTGGATAAGCACATCTTTCCCCGAATATCAGGATCTAATCCCACTGACTCAAGATGGTTGAAGACATCAGCGCACTCAGACAGTTGGCTCGCCGCCCCCTTCCGCCAACATCTGAATAACTGTACTTCAAGTAGGAACAACAGGAGGATCAACAACAATTATGAATCTCCAACCCCTGCTGCTGTGGAACAACAGGGCTTGAGTAAATGCACTCCAAAATTAACTCCAGGTGGAATTCCAGTCCTTAATTCATTCAAGGCAACATGAAATCTTCTGCGTGCGAAAATGCATTGTCAAAAAACTCAACAAGAAATGTTGTGCGCAACTTTTTGAGATGCGTAACATGCATCATGACAGCGTTTGCAAGCAGATTGGGTATCCAAAAAAGTCAACTACAGCATAAATTCTTGGATTTTCAGAAATGGTTGGAAGGGAATTAGCACGGAAGTGTTTTACCACAACACTTTTTTCACAGCATAAAGAATGTTCACTTCACTATCCTACAGAAGTATTTTGCAACATATGTTCCCATATCATGTTTCTTATTGTCCAATCCATTTTTGTAAAAAGATTTGCATTGTTTGAATATCCGGGAATGAAAAGACCAGTGACATTAATTAAGGTTTGCAGCACCATGCTAATTATTATGATAGTTTTCGGCACTATGACGTGTGTCAGGGTCGGTGGATCAATTCAAGAAGTGTAATTTTCTTCAAATACAAGATAGAAAAAATACGTGAGCTACTCAGATATCTAGCAATATAAAAATATGGAGCAAAAAACTGGCATCAAATATGTAATATCGCTATTTCTCCACCAGTATCAGTTAGCATATACTGTACCTATACGGTATTCATACCACAGTATGCTGTAAATTGGAAGGGATGGTATTCCACGGAGTTCGTTACAATATCAAGTACAGTATGTCACAAGTGCCCTTGTTTTCAAAACCGCCTGTTCTTAAAGTACTTTGAAGGCCTGCACACTGTACGAGAGGAAATCATGCGGTAATCACTTACATGGGGAAAGCTTTCAGGCCACGATATCACTGTGTGAGCTAGGTTGTCCCCATGAAACCATTCAGGAAAAAAAATCCTGAGTTGAACACTGTATTTAGGGACTGTATGGGCATTGGGATATGTGATGATCCTTGAAGGGTCTGGAAAAAGGAACAGCAGGAAACTCTGGAAGGACAGGAACTCCTCAGATTTAAGAAGAAAAAAATACTCCATGTAACATGAAAATTTTGAACGGAACGAGATGATCAACTGCCGCTCAGCCTTGGGACCCTGACAAATTGCCACGCGACGAAAACAACTTCCGGCCGTTTCTCCCCGGAGTTCTTGGTGATTTAATAATAAGAACACTGTAGTGCAGGACGGGAGTAAATTACCTCATACGGATGTAATGCAGCTGTTGCTGTCTCCCTTCCTCAGGAACTCCACATTGCCACAGAAGCAAGACACCATATACTGTAGCTATACAGGTCGATGTGGCAATGACATCTGTCATCTTCAAACACAAAAAGCTATTTTAACCCACTGGGAGAAGTATCGATTCCCTCGCCGAATCCCAGGAACAACTTGTATTTTCCTTATTGGAACCTGATCAGCATACTGTATCAGGTTCTGGAGCTGGGTGGTTCAAGGACATCGTCCGCTCAATTTCGAATGAGAAGCAGTTCCCCTGATACCGAGTGATTCCACCTGTCTCGTATCAAAAGGAACCATATTAGTCAGCGTATTCCTGTTAAATTCTTGTGAAGGTTTGAATTATTTCGGTGGCACGTGTTCTCCGATGGTGCCTCGGATGATAGGCGTATTGAGGAGAGCCTATTATTAAACAAGCAGTTAAACACTGCCCAGAAGTGCTTATACAGTAATTGGTAGGTTCAATAAACCTGTGAAATCCAGCTGATCCCATCCAGGATACTCCATTATTTCCTCTTCTTACATGTTTTCAAACCAGCGAAAAACAAAGTTATTAAGCAAATACTGTACCACGGAATTTGTCATGTACTTTCGATCTATGTACTGCTGTGCTGTACATCAAGGAGCAAAGATCATTTATCATCACCGTCTGATGTAGAGCAGAATGTAGATCTGTAGATAATGATATGGTTCTTGTTGATTTGATCATGGAGAAAACGCCCCGTGTCCTGAAGCAGCGTTGCAGCAGCAGTGGTGAATCGAAGCTAGCTCACCGCCTGATGCGTTGTTTGGATTTTGTTGCATTATTCTCCGGTAAACGTTATCTGCAATGTTGAAATTTCTGGAACTCCCACATATGCGGCCATGAAGAAGTCTCGGGCAGTTGGCGTATCAAGGTCACAGAATATAAGATCTGGTCGCGAATGCATATTTCAGGCGTCGATTTGAATGAAGTCGATATAAAGCTGAGCAGTGAATTGATGTTGCGACTACGTATTGGAAGCTAATGCTGCTCGAGCAAAATGCAACAGAACTCCCAATATGTGTTTACACGTAATCACAAGTACATTAATTCATGAAAAGGTAGAATATGATGACTCATTTTCGGCGTGATTGGAAGTTGGGTTTTCGCATGGTCGCCCCAATGTATGCGGCCTATCCGAAATGTAACATTCGGTTGATGCTTCTTTCCCTGTTCTAATGAGCATGAAGGGTCCAGCATGAATCCTTTACGAATTCGTTCATGACACGTCCTCATTGAAGGTTGACAGAGCAGGCAGGTGATATAACTGAATCGTTCGATTAAATAATGTAAGCTTTACAGGAGCTTTGTCATCATCCAAGTGAATTCATTACTGGCCTTGAAATGATGTGGGAAAGTATCTGTTCTGTTTCAATGGGGTGGAGAAAGATACCTGTTGGAGATCGATTCTCCTGGAAGTGGGAGGAATATAATGATTATGTGAGGCAGCTTTTGTGACCGGCAATTCGAAGAAAAATTGAACGGCTTACACCAACTGCAGTATACATCCTTCTTCCGGTTTTCTACAGAAAAGCCCGGAAACTCAACCGTTTTATGACCCTATAGATTTCCAACCGAAACTTGAAGGTTACGAGAACCATTGAACGTGGCTAATCATGTCATCGCCGAAAGTCACGATTCCGGTGATGCTCTCGAAACCGGATTTCTTTCCAGCAAGTTGCCGCACCAACGGATACCGGAAGCAACATCATCTCACTGCCCCCCACCAACTTTCACGAACTTCCCATTGGCCGAGCTCCATCGTGCCCGGTTTGCAGCAAGGGGGGATGCCACTCTCGCTCAGAATGTTCCACGTGAGGGAAGTCTCATGTGCCAGAGATTCTAACGGGAGGGTTTCTCTATTAGTCTATTGCACCGGCATTGTGTTTTTGTTGCGGGAATGCCTGGAGACTGTAGGAAAATTAAAATATGTCCCTCACGGAATTAACGCTGCTCATTCGGTTAGGCAGACTTCGGAACAGCATTTACTGTCTATTCGTCGCGAGATCTCTCAGATTTTTCTTCAGGAAGACTTGATTTGTGCTTTCCCGAGACTTCAGAGAATCCATTGTGATGTGAAGCGTCTGGTATACGCTAAATTTAGCCGTAACTGAATTGTGCCTTCCGTACTGAGACTGACGTCATATTGCTAGTGTATATTCCCAATTCGTCTGGTTTGTAGTACTTCTTCCTCAAATTGATTACAGCGCAGTATTAAACTCATGTTACCATGTTTCACGTCTTCGCTGGTTTCTTTAAAATGTTTTCATATCACTTTCACGTTGGAATTCGTTCTTCAGTAATACGATGCCCTGGTCCCCCCTCGGGAAGATTGTCGCCGTAGTAGCCTGAGTACTTCACGGAATCACGGAACAACGCTGCAGTGAAGGTGAGTACGTTGCCATTATATGTTCGAATGAGTCCGAATCGGCGATTTTCCCTTTTTCATTTCTCAGTGGAGTACGTCTCGTATCTAGTTTTGTGAAGGAGGCGAAGGTTTCATTCGTCAGTTTTTATCCGCAGTATCCATGAAACGTTTCATATTTTTTGCAGGAGTTCGTCAATCTATTCCCGTAGTCGAACGCGTGAACAAGCCACATCATACTGAATGCCTCAAGGAGGAAACAAAAGTGGTCAGGACCAAGGACAAAGTACTGTAATCCCCTTTCTCGAATGTTTCATTAAATCCATCATGGTAATACATTTGTTGCTGGTCAATTTGCTAGGGGGTTTGAATACTGAAAACCAGTGAAGCAGCTATAGTGCTATGTCTTCAAAAAATTAGAATGCTGGGCTTTAAAAAAGGTTTCCCAAATTGAAAACTGGAAATAATATATTTTGGCATCCGCCATGAAAATTATTCTTGAATTGTTAAAAATGCCAAGTTGTATCCTCATCAGATAATTTCAATGGCAATTGTTTTTCGGAACTGTTGGACAACAATAATAGACTTCACTACAACTTCTGATACATTTATCATGCTGAAAATATCCTTGGGATGGGCAAAAAAACTTCTGCAAATTGGCGCCAGTGCACAGACCATGGGTTTGAGGAACATTGCTGTGGAGTACATTATCTTTCACGTAATGAGCCATCAATCACATGGATATTGCAAGATCGAAATTCTTGGCTATTTTTTTGGTGGATAAAGGTTGATAGCTGAAACTACAGCAACTCAAGAACCACTTACAGCGAATGCCGTTCCGAAGTCTTCCTGACCCAATGAGCGGCGTTAATACCCTGAGGGACATATTTTAAATTTCCTGCAGGCTCCAGGCATTCCCACAACAGAAACACACTGCTTTCCCAGTGCACTGCAGAAACCATCCCATAAGAATCTCTGGCACATGAGGCTCCCCTCACATCGAACATTCTGAGCGAGAATCCCCCCTTAGCTTAGCATAACCGTAACCTTCAAGTTTTGGTTGGAAATCTATAGGGTCATAAAACGGTTGAGTTTCCGGGCTTTTCTGTAGAAAACCGGAAGAAGGATGTATACTGCAGTTGGTGTAAGCCGTTCAATTTTTCTTGGAATTGCCGGTCACAAAAGCTGCCTCAAGTAATCATTATATTCCTCCCACTTCCAGGAGAATCGATCTCTAACAGGTATCTTTCTCCACCCCATTGAAACAGAACAGATACTTTCCCACATCATTTCAAGGCCAGTAATGAATTCACTTGGATGATGACAAAGCTCCTGTAAAGCTTACATCATTTCATCGAACGATCCAGTCATATCACCCGCCTCATTTTTGTCCTGCTCTGTCAACCTTCAATAAGGACCTGTCATGACCGAATTCGTAATGGACGCATGTTGGACCCTTCATACTTACAGCAGGGAAAGAAGCATCAACCGATTGATGCATTTCGCGACCATGCGAAATCCCAACTTCCAATAACGCCAATAATGAGTCGTCATCATATTGAACCTTTCATGAATTAATGTACTTGTGATAGCAAGTACGGGATATTCTTGATCAACTTTCATCCACCATTTATATTCAACTTACAGTAACTGATGTGGGTTTCCAAGGTTGGTGAATTGCTAGTGTGTAACCCAAAATTATGTTCATGCCTTCCAGCAGTGATGCTAGTACAGAGAGACCCACACATGCAGATGCCTTGACCTGCAGAAGATTTGACTTAGGGACACTTTCCTTACAATTAAAAAAGACCTGACCTGTGTACATAAAAATTATCAGAAAATCAAAATTGTCAAGCCAAATTACTAGGAGCAGATATTCAGAACCATAAGATGGTAAGATCTATGTGACAAAAATTGTTTTAAAATTATGTCATTTCCCCTTCCATTTAGCGAATTTTAAAAATTATCTCAAGCATAGAGATTCTCAAAAATGAAGGGATTTCCTTCTCTCTTTTTGTCTAATTTCATTTTTAAAGGAAATGCTAACATCTCAATGTTCAATAGTGTACAGTACATCATTTCCAATTGGACAGTTTTCCCGTATGTTCCTAAGAAACTGTTGAAAAAACATTCTCAACTTTTTGCTTGACAAAAAGCAAAGTTTTATAAGTTAATTTCAAGAAGGCTAGATAAAAAAGTGGAAAATTTCCTCTAAGACAAAAACATCTGGAATAATCAGGAATGTGCCAACTGTGGAACTCAAAAAATAAATCAAAAAGATGCCACAGCTGGAGAAGAAAGGAAGAGGACATTTGCTGAATTGATGGATCTTAACATGCAGTAGTAGCACAGAACTTGTACATTTTGTGAATGTGTTATGTCCCCAATGCTCCAAATTTTATACATGAATTTGTAGTTCCTGTGATCAGCAACAGGTTCAGAATGCTGCAAGTACTCGGATAAAATTATATCTTTAAGCAAGGATCCCGAAAATTCATTGGAAATACAGTACTATGCAAATGGGGTATACAATTTCTTCTGAAATGTGCATGAGCAAACCATGCAATAATATCCTTATTCCCCTTCCTACCCCGGTGCCGCCTGCATTCGGATCTACTCCCTTCTCCAACAAAAGCTTACGCTCCCCTTCACCTTTCACAGATGCGGCCAGAACACATTATCTCTAGTCAGAAGTTCAATTGAAATAGGAACACCACGTACAGTGTTCTCAGGCTTCAGAAAAATTTCACAGCCAATCGAAAAGAAGGAACATGTTAAGAACCATTTCTGATGGACAACTCAAGAATCAAGCGGTATCTTCGTATGGGTTTAAAAACAGACATACACATTGCTAATAACCAGTGCTTGGAACATGGGTCTTCCAAAACAGAAGTTTGAAAACCTCACTTCTGAAGAATTAAGCATGGTATGATGACTTCGGCTCCGAACAACAACATTGCAACTCATGGGACTGAGGTGTCCGCGCATGTATCACTTGAAGCATATGCCCCATTCCACCATTTTTCGAGCGCGCATTCTCGTTCCAATTTCAAGAAAAATAAGCATGAATCCAATCCGTGATTCTTACTTTCGCAGAGCTGACATCTTCGTTTTCCCTGAAGCACTTTTCGACGCGGAGCGAGATCACCGTTAGTATTGAGTCTGGCCTTTTTCGACGCATTTTCGTAGTTCACTTCGTCAACAGAGCAAGGTTTCATTTCATCGTCATGGTTTTGATGGACGCCCTTTGACATTATCCTTGAACTCGTAGCTTCTTAATTCATGCTGATCAGTCGTCGGACAATTGCTAGACTTCCCGATTCTCTCCTGAAGTTCGATGTTCGTCTGTGCGACGGTTGGAGCAAATCGTACATCACATCATCGAAGAGCAGCACTCGCAGTGTTCCCAGGATGGTATCAGCACTCATCGTCTGGAATGAGAGCTTCACGGTGTGCTTGTTAGACTAGCGTAATGGCTCTTTGGGCAGCGAGTTACTCCGCAGTTCTTCAACAGACTCCAAATCTCCAATACTGCATCTGTTGTGTCAGAGATAATATCAGTCGTCCGATATTATCTCTGAAATGCGGCAGAAGAAATACCCGAAAATCCTCAGCTGCTATCACACCTCTTCGCATGCATACATGCAGCCGAACTTGAAGAAGTACCTCGCTTTACACCTTCCGCTGGGAGGCAATGCATCCTGTTTCGCGTGCTCTGCGACACATCGGTGGAATACAATAACATAATCACAGTATGGTTCGAAAAACACTGCATCAAAATAGCATTACTTCGGTTAACCGCAGTGTTCGGAGCATTTCCGGCGTTTCCTCCAAAGCCAGCTTCTCCAAATGATGCGGTTCACTCATTTCGCGTTGACATAAGCATTCTCTGAAAAATCCACAATAAACCTCTTCGGCCAAAACTAAATCGCACCTTAACCCTTCAGACACAAACCACCAGCACAGGACCCAAATGTAGTTGCCAACTATTCTCTGGGTTCATCACTCTCGGAAACGATCTTCACAACACCAACGCTAACACGAAACACGGCAAGCGAGCACGCGAGAGCTGTATGAAAGGAACAAAATGAGACAGAAAAGTGGCTTGGAACGAACTTGACATACGGGAATTCAGTTGTAGCATGCACTGAACATGTCATGGCATCGACTGAGAAGGCACACATTACGAAAGCTTACATTCAACATGACTTATTATACTGTTCCTCATGAGCTTCGAACATAAATTTTTCAAAGGTCATTCGGTAGTGTTTCTTCTCAAATAATGTCTCGTGATGTTTCTTTTTTGAACTTTTCTATGTAGGAAAAATCGATTTTTCCAATGAATTTGTTCTTGGCTAAATTTGTGAAACATGAAAAATCACATCACTTCTCAAATTCCCTAAATGAAGCATGACCACAGGGTACGTTTTTTCCTTAAGCGATTGGCAGATACCGTTCCGGACACGCGAGGAAAAAGGAGGGACTAACCCTCCTCCACCCGGGTCGACACGCGGATTTTGGAGAGTGAAGGAACTCTGCAACAGCGTGAGCTCAACTATAACTACCCACATTTCAGAGGAAATCTAGCAACCCCAGGGGATCTAGGCGTACCCGCCAAGGGAAGCATCACACACCTCAACCCGCCTGATCAGCAAGTGTCACCACCTGCGCTGGGTCCCTGGTTCGAACCGTGGACTGCATCGTGGGAGCTGGATGCTTAGCACCAGTGCTATGTCACAGGCGGGCGGCAAGTACAGGATAGTGGAGGGTATATAAATTTCCTGCACAGCAGTTCGGCAAAAAGTGCCAGTACCCTATGAGGGAGTCGAATCCCGAAGTGTTTTCCACATGGCACGTTCTTACTCACGAGCAGTATCTGGCCTTCTTCTAGTATAGTACCGGCATATCAGAGGAATTTCTCTCATTCGAACAGCTCCTGGGCGTCGCATTAGAATTTACAGTAAATGTGTTGGTGCGCTCACCCTCTCACGAGAAGAAAGTCCAAAGGACTGTGTCTCAGAAATCTAAAGTGTAGGAGGTGATACTTGTTAACAGATGAAAAGCTTTCCAGTGATCATCAGCACATTCAGCAGAGCTCACGCCTTTCAGGACGTTTGTGAACATGCATACGATCAATCATTCATAGAACTGCGTGAGATCAAAACGCTTCCTCCAAAATCATTGCCTTATTTCATAAAAATATGCAGAACAATGGCTCCGCACAGATTTTTCCTCAAGAGAAATGGGACCCGTCCCAGGACTAGGTAAAAGTGGAACCCGCGACCATGGGTTCCAGCAGGGGGAGGCGGGGCTGCCGGACAAGGGGCAGGGGAACCAGAGAGAGAGACTGGTCAGTCTCGCGACTAGCTCAGTCTTGGCACAGGCAGCGATGAGTTGCAGCACAACTGGAGGAATAAAAGAAAACATTTTTTTAACCCAAAAAACTTAGGAAAAGTGGTCCCTTCAGTATTTTACATCATGTCTTTACAAGGAAATTATTTTTTCTACTCTAAAATTTCTGATGATCCCTGATATTCAATCATGGTAATGAACCTAGATAAGTCTGGTTATGCCCATATATTACAA